GCCGAGCGCCCAATGAGGTGCGGTGTACCCCAGGGGTCCGTATTAGGACCACTACTGTGGAACCTGGGGTACGATTGGGTGCTGAGGGGCGCGCTGCTCCCCCGGACGGTGGTCGCCCTGCGAATGTGCAGGGCGTACATGACGGTGACTTGCGCTGCCGCATGCGTCCTCGCCGGTACTCCGCCGTGGGACCTCGAAGCCGAGGTCCTGGCGGAGGTCCACACCTATCGGCGGGGAATGAGGGACCGAGGCGAGCGACCCGCTCCCCAAGAGGTGGAGCGGGAACGCCGCCTCGCGGCGCAGCGCATGCGGGACCGGTGGAAAGAGGGCTTGGCGGATCCCCCTGAAATAAACTAATATTAACATAATCCAAGCATTTTTATTATTTGCAGAAGACATTTTTTTCAGTGTCAATTTCAACCATAGATCTACCAACCATAGTGTATATATATATATAACACCCCCCAATGGCGTTCGTACCATAGAGGCGATCCGCCCTGTCCTCATAGAGTGGGTAAACCGGTCCCACGAGCCACTGTCGTACTACCTTGTGCAGGTGCTGACCGGGCACGGCTGCTTCGGTCACCACCTGCACAAGGTGGCGAGGAGGGAACCGTCCCCGTTGTGCCACGAGCGCGGCGCTGCGGATGACACCGCGCAGCACACCTTAGAGGTGTGGAGGGATAAGCAGCGCCGCACTCTGACGGGGACTGTAGGGCAGGACCTATCGCTGCCGAGCGTGGCTGCCGCCATACTCGATAGCGAGGAGTCCTGGGAGGCGGTGGCCTTCTTTTGCGCAGAGGTTATGTCGCAAAAGGAGGCCGCGGAGCGGGTGCGCGAGGATGCGGCGGACGCGCACCCGCTCCGGAGCAGACGTACGGGGAGAAGGCGAAGGCAGTTCGCTGCTCGCCTGATCCCCTAGTGAGACCAGCGGGCTCTGGACAGGGACTCCGGAGCCTGCATTGCACGGCCTCACTCGTCTGGGGGGCGGGTCGGAGGACAACCGACTCGCCCCTTCGTTGGTGCGGGAGCCCTGGCGTAAACTAGGGCGACTCGGCGGCGTCGTGGTGAATGTTCACTGATCCCACGGCGCCGACTCAACCGGCGAGAGGGAAACCCGGGGGGGTTTTAGTGGGGTAGGCCCTCCAGTCTGGAGGGAGAGTCCCTACATAACCCCTGACTCTCCCTGGGCTCAGGGATATCCATAAAGATTCCCCCCCCCCGTCAAAAAAAAAGGGGTGGTTAGGGGTGAGTTAGGGGTGGTTAGGTTGAAAGGGTTGAACCCTAACTAGCCGTGAACAGGTTCACGGCAATGAAATGGGAAACTTCCGGTCCACAAAATTTATTAAAGAAGTAAAGATTATAGAAAGACACAATATAAAGGTAAATGTAAAAAAACAGGTACAACAGTATAAAACACTCCCTACTCTTATTATTAAGGCACTTACTCCTAAATGGGTCGAGAAACTGAATTATAGAAATAGATACATGAAGGGTGTAGACTTATAAATTATTATACATGTTTAGCTTATTAACAGCTCTGATTGTTGCGGCGGTCGGGCTGGGAGTGACCGTGGTACAAAAACAAAATGAGAAAGTGAAGGAAGATGAAACAATTCAAATTTAAAATTTAAATAACAATTCAAATTTAAAATTTAAATACAAGTAAAATAAAAAAAATGATAAGACACAAGAAGAGAGAGGCGATACAAAGAGGTGAGATGACGGTGTAAGGAGGTCACACCGTCACAATGTTAGCTAGTTTAGTTGGGGGGCTGGTCCCAAATCCACATTTTTTTACATTATAAATTTGTTACATTATAAATTATAACTGCCTCAGTGCCACGCAGAGGTCCTAGGTTCGATTCCCGGGCCGTGAGAATTATTTGTATGGCCTACATTTATTACTCTCGTGAGTTTGGGTGTAATTTGCGGATGTCTATGTGTGTGTCCATGGCACCCTCTTGATGGAGAAATCGCTGAATACACTGACAAGCCTATAAAATTTGAGGGCTTTCCATGGAATCCCGTCATCAGAGTTTGACTTGGTGATAATGGGAACATAACGAGACTGCACCCTTTCAAACAATAAAAGAACTTTCAAATCGGAAAAGGTACATAAGATATACTTATAGCCGAACGTATAACCTCCTCCTTTTTATTTTGAAGTCAGGTAAAAAGGTGTATAATTTTTTTATGAATTAATAAAATTAGCTAAAAGAAAATAAATCAATAAATTAATTTGTCCTTGTAAAATAGTTATTGCCAATTTCAGTCTAATTTACATTTTAAATTTCTGAGATTTCATCACTGTTACTCGTATATGGCATTCACCACATTGTTGGTTTCATTCATGGACCAATAACTGACAAAGACTGCTAATCGCGATACAATGAGGCGTAGTGGGTATTTAAAGTACCTACCTATTGGTACTACATCAGATGTCGCGATGAGTACCAAATACCTAACTATTTCTGTAAATAATTCATTTTACATTGATGAGCTGCAATTTCACCCATAGATTTAGTAATGATTTCACCAAAGCTACTCAATTTCTAGCGACAACAAACAAATCAACTAGATGGCGCTTATTGAATAAGTGTTTAATTTTTATGGGTACTGCCAGCAATTCTGTTATTTTGTTTAGGATTAGCACCATCTAGCTAGCTAGCATCTAGTTAGCAAATGTTAGCGACATTTTTTAATTACTTTGTAACACCCAATGCTATCTATTGATACGGATATTTGTTAGAGGTCAGAAAAGAATTTTAGCTCATGATCAATATTTGAACATTACTAGAAGGAAAAAACACCACTTATATTTACTGAATTTCCCATTTACATTTATGAATTAATTCATTGATATCCAGTGCTATTTGCATAATAATATAACGTAACTACTTCCAGGCTATTGATCAACGCCCCATCTGGATATATAAGAAGGGATTTTGACCTGTTTCAGAGGTACGACCTGTAGTATGGAGACAATTGATACTAAATGAATGTAGGTATATATGAGGTCGACCTCTAAGCTCCCTCATCTTTCCAAAATCAAACCAATATGAAACTATCAAACACACGGAAGAAAAGAACTGTATTTATGGTTCTGTGATTTTAAAAAAAGTATTCAAGGATATTCTGATTGTTCTACTTCTGCTAATTTTTTAAACTATAATATCTGTATATTATATATGAATAGTATTTGTTATCACGAGACGTTGTTGCATAAACATTGGTTGGGTGGCAGTCACGCCCGTAGTTTAAGTTACGTTTACTAAATAGTGTCGTTTTTTTATATTATAATAATCCATTACTTCAATGTATCGTCTCATATAATGCACTGTTTACTGCATTTATGTTATTGTTAAATTTTATATTTTATATATAGTTATCATTAAATTATACTCCCATTGAGATTCATAATAGAATCTTTGAATTGCATAGAAGCAAGACAATACTTTCGAAAATTTTGTCTTAATTCTTTTTTGCCTTTTATGTTTTTAACGATTTTCAGTATTTGTATTTGCAATGTCAAAATTTCGTCATCACTGAATTCAGAGGTACTTTTTATCAAGCTTTGAAAGAACAATTCAAGACTGGTGGATCTCTTCTCAGATTCAGTGTTATTATCAGTATGACTGCATTGATCATCAGCCAATGAGCTTTCAATAATCAGTCCATCTCCCTTAACATTTTTAATGTCGACACCACAAATTTCATTGAAGGCGACCTCAAAAAAATTAGGTAGGTCTTTATTATAGTGAAAATTTTGTATTTTATTCGATTTTACAATTGTATTATTTTCCCTACTTTCAAATTCCTCACGTTTCACATTATTTTTCCTTTTATTCATGTTAAACAGTCTTCCGTTAAATATTTTCTTGACGAAATTTTTGTCTGAAACATTTAATATTAAACAATATAAACTTAGAATGAAATATGTAAAGAAATACTTATCAAATTATTTCTTACTGAAGGAGGCTCTGAGTGAGTACAGATGTTGACGATGAAGTCTGCAGAAATCTTTAAAATCCAGTTTCTTTGTCAGTGTTTCGAAGTTGTCTTTTGTTTCCTCGCGCCGCCGATATTGTGAAGAATCTTCTTGACCTACAAACAAGTCCATAAGAAAGTCTATATGATTCATCTTGGTTAGGTCTTTTATGCAAGCACTTGAGTTATAAATTTATATAAAAGATTCTATAGAACTTCTATAGAAAAGTACGAAAAAATAATTTCAAAATACAAAAGCGTGAATATGATTCAATCCAAAATATTTCAAAATGTGTCAACTTCAAAACCCAAAGAATAATGTATAAATCTTAGAGGATGGAAATCCTACAGGATGGAAAAAAATAAAGGACATATATTTTAGGAAAAAAAAGGAATATTATACACATTTTGATCTTATTACTATATTTTTTCCATCCTCTAAGATTTTACTACGTGTCACAGAATACCAATTAAAGGACTATCCACACATATCCGGGCCGTGCCCAGGACGTGGACGGGACGTGCTAGTTTGTATGAACTGCGGGCCGCACCCGTCCCGGCACCGGCCCGGACACGGACATGTGTGAACGAATTCGTACAAAATATACACAACGATATTTTTTTGAGCCCCTGACGGAGCACGGCCCGTCCACGTCTCGGATGTGTGTGGATAGACCTTTAATACTCACAAAGAGCTCTGTGCCCAAAATAATTAAAATCTTATAAAAGTTGTTTCTTTTTTTCTTGATTTTTCGCGGTTGTCTAATCGGACGTATAAGTTTAAACAACATACTACAGAATTTTTTTGGCAGTTCCTATTCCACTGCGTTTAGGAGGAAGATGAAACGAAAATCTTTGTAAAAATGTTGTCTTGTCATTCTTTTGTCAAAGTGGTTGTGGACTGTGGTCAAAGTCATGTCATGTTTCGCTCTTCGCTGCGCGTTTCTGTGCTATTATGTTATTGAAATTGCTCTAAAGTAAACTGAATGTTCCTTGTGATGAAGCGCTTTCGTTGTTAATTACATATTCTTTGAGTAAATTTGCTAATTACCTTATTCAGTCGAAGTCATGGCATATACAGAGAAGGTGTCAATAAGTGGTACTGCTCTGTCATTTTTGTTGTACGAATGCGTAAACTCTATAAACAGCCAGGTAATGTACCGTATTGTATATATTTTATTGTTTACTGGTTTTCAGTATTGTTATAATTATTTTCAATAACTTTCAGGAGGGTTTCCTGATCGGCGATATCACTTCTGAAGTAACCAATCATATATCTGATTCACAAAGTGATAACGCTCGGCTGGACACGCAGATTGTCATAAGGACGGTATTGCCCTTGCCCTCTGTAGCTCTGTTCTACTTTCCAACTGGAAGGATAAAGGAAGATGTTCTTTCAGATTTACTTTCAAAAACTGCTAGTGAAGTTGTTGGATGGTACAAATACAGGAAAGACAGTAACATCAAACCAACTTTTAGAGATAAACTAATTTCTAAAGGTTTGCAAAAGTACTTTGAGAAGCATCACGGCAAGAAAAATTTTGTGACATGCAATTTGTCCAGTAAAACATCTTCAGCCAGCTCTACTCATACATTTATGTATAGATTTGGAAAAATTAATTGTTTTGATATGTACGAGTATGTGGATGATATCACAGCTAATTTGGGTGAAAAGCACACTGGGTACAAAAAAGCTTTAAGGCTATCTCCACATAGTATTTTCAATAAAATTGTCAAAGAGAGCAATGTTCAGAGTAACAACACAAGTGATGCAATATTACGCATTCAAGAAGCAGTAAACTTCAGGCTCATGAAGGAGGCGAAACTGGCTGCTAAGAATGAGTCCACTATTAGAGAGCTAGAGGCGGAGATTAAACAAATCAATACTATATTGTCTGATAAGCTGTCTGCAGATTTGCAAACATCTCATGAGAAGATGGTTGAGGAGAAATTTATGAATAGAGAAATAGAGATGGCCAAAGCTTGTGTAGAAGCACTGCACACACCAACCAGAGTGGATATATTAAACATACCCAATATTGTGATGAATAACCACTTATCAAACAGTGATACCTTACAGTTAGCTGAGAGTGGACCAAAAGGCCGTAGTCCCAGTCCAGTACTAATACCTTCAAGCTCAAATAAACCAGGAGTATTGAATTATGCTGCTGCACTAAAAAATAAAAATGAAAAACCTTCTACTAGTGTGAGTATGCATAAGTAAAATTATTGTTATTAGGCTGGAATCATTCAGCACCCACACAGCCCTTCCATCACTGCGACTATTAATTGATCTTTAAATAATAAGTGAATTTGTCACATCTTACTTTGTCACCATTACCTTTATTGCAAAATATAAAATATTTTTATCTTAATACTTTTAAGGTTATGGTAAGTAAACAAATATTAAGATTTTTTGTTATTCTTATCGGTATCTTCTTATGAGCAGTAAAGGCTAATTATGTACTGATTGTATTTTAAAAATATTGTTTTGTATAAAAGATTTTTATGGTACATTTTAAAATCTCAATGTAGTAATTTTTTTTTTTTTGCAGAAATCAAACAATTTCAGTGATGATTTGATAAGTTTTGATGTGGAAGAGAACCATGTTCAAAAAATAAACTTTATCAATGATGATGTGAAATGTATCGGTGACAGCTCACCAGATTACTGAAGTGTCCATAAGTGCCTTATCATTAGAACATAAGTGATTATTATTATAAATGCTGGGAGTATGGGATGGTATACTGAAAACTTTCATTCTGAGTCATTCAGTGTATGACTGAACAAAACTTTTCTAGGACCACTAATTAGCGTACATTAAAAATAATTACAACAGTCCATATTTTTAAACAGTCTATTCTCAGATCAAAACAACATAAACACAACCAGTTTCAGTGAGAATTCATAAGCGGAACTCAAACCAAGGATCCATACTACGTTCTTTCAAATGGCTTGTCACTGTGAGCAGGAGTAAGCGATATGTTCACAGTACATAGAATGCCTAAATTTTTAATTAAAATAATACATATATTTTTTGATGTTGATAAAGTTGGTACCATAAAAGTTGTTCAAAATGACAATTATAGCAAACAGGTTAAAACTTTTAGTGCTCTATCCCATACACTCTGTCCATGTTACCATATAAAAATAACAATTTTATTTTTTGTTACTAATACTCATTACTGTTAAAGTCGTCATGCTATGAAGATAACTTTAAATGTTTGTACAGGGTCAAGAGCATGTATAGCTTGACACTTACAATTTAAATTCCACTCCTGACTTCAGCAAGATCATAATCAGTTAATTAGAATTTGACTAATCAGGTAAAAATTCATTTACTTAGTATTAGTTGTAGAAAAATAGATTTAGTTGGTACATCCTGTTTTAAACAGGTCACGCTGTAATCCAAGACAGGATGAATCAACTAAATCTAGTTTTTTGCAACAAGAACCAACTAAATGATGACTACATAACTAGTAAAATTTTAAATATTTGATTATGGTCACACTGGAATATGGCCACTCTATACCACTGACAATAAGAGGTCAAAAGTGTCAATCTTGGTGTGCTATGATCGTACACTCTTATTGTAATTATTGATTTGAGACTAATTAATATTGTGTATCTACTTAATACTTTTGATTATAGTTAATATTCATTACAGCATGCAAATAAGGTAATTGTAAGTGAAAATATCCCATCATTTAGGGAAGAAAACATCAAAAATCATCCATAACTTCTATAAGTCTAAGTATAATAAAGAAATAATTGTACAAAATATTTTTGTAATAAATAGGATAGTAATAAATAGGCTTCTTAAGTTCATCGTTTATTTTTTTAAACTAAACTTGTATAAAATAACAAAAATTAGATCTGTCAATAAACTTTACTTAAATCAGATAAATAAAATTTTAACGAAAATAAAAAAAACAATACTTGAATAATACAATGTATAAAAATGGCACACCTAATTATCGTGATTATTTTATTTACAATATACAGGCTGTAACAAAAAGGCGTAATAACATTTTTTTACAATATGAAACTGAACACTACTGGTAGAAAAATATTGGATTTTTCTCGGCATTTTTTTCAAATTTGGCGAAAGGCGAAATAGTATTTCGTCGCCTTACTTTCTCAAACTCGTATCTTAAAGCACAAAGTTACTGAAATGCAAAAAATGGCTTGTACATTATACATTTTGGCTGATTTCACATCACATTTCCTTCATATTCACACACTAGCTTTTACCTATTTTTAAAGTAATGCATCCAAATTAACACCTTTGAAGAGAAATTTCAAATAAATAGAAAGTTTTGCCATCTCCTGAATAATCATTCTTTATAAGATACAAGTTTGAGAAAGTAAGGCATCAAATTGTATTCCGTCTAAAGTTGTTCAGTGTCATGGAATACCAAAATATTACTGTTATTTTGTTACACCTGTATATATTTATTAAATATAATAAATAATACTCGCAATAGGGTGTTCCTAATGAGTAGATAAATGTCTACATATACAAGGAGCGATATGGAGTTGCTGAAACCAACCAAATATTAATTCTTTTTTCGAATTCCGGATGTCCGGAAATAATAGTTTTACTGCATCATAGGATAAAACTTCAACTAGAAAGTTGAAGCTGAATTTTACAGTAATTCTAGTGGCGCCATGTAAAAATGCAGTAAACCAAACTGTACACCAAAGTATACATTTTTTTAATAAACAGCAAGCAATAGTTTGTTTTAACTAATGCGGATGTTGTAAATACTTTTATATTCTCCCATTGATAATATGAAAACTGTAATTTCAAAAAACGAGCATTAATAGCTCATTTATATTAGTGAAAATATGCATAGTCATGGCAACCTGGGTACAATTTACTAGTCCAATTCTGGCGCCAGAGGTCGTACCTGAGATGAGGTTGGGGGAAAGAGGGTGATGGTAGCCCGGCAGCAGGGAAAACCTGTATCGCGGGTACCATGGACACACATAAACAACCACAAATTACACCCAAACTCACAAGAGACATTAATATAGGCAATATAAATATTTCTCCATGTCTGGAAATTGAACCCGGGATCTCTGCGTGGCAGTCCACCATGGTAACTGTTTGGCCACGGAGGTAGTTGAATATCCGCATTGGTTAAAACAAGCTATGCCTTGCACAAGAACCTTCTACTTTGATGAAAGGTTAATTATCAACTACATTTTTTACATGGCGCCATTAGAATTACTTCAAAATCCAACATCAGCTTTCTCTGTGAATAGTTTTATGTATATTACTATGCAGTAAAACTATTTCGGGAAATCCGGAACTCGAAAAAGTAATGAATTATTAATATTTGATGGTTTTACCGACTCCTTGCACCTATGTATGGACATTTATCTATTAATTTGCAACATCTTATTCTGACCATTATTAATAATAAATGAATATCCAATTACCCAAGTTCACAATGTACATACTTTGTATTATTATAACATATTTGGAATGTATTACTGGAACACAATCAGAAATTGTGTGGTTAAAAATTGAATCATTAACTCAACTATACATCATCTAATTATAACTTGAGTAAAACATTACATTTCAGCTCCATTTTAGACATACAAAGCTTTATCATAGTGAAGGATATATGAAATGCATACAAATTAAATTATATTCATGCTTCAATACATAGTAATAGTACAATTATCAGTTTTGAGTTGTACGCAACTTTTCTTAACAGTAATCGCTTATTTTCCTTTAATCTTGTATTTATATTGAGCTACAGCTCAGTACTGACGACATGAGTGGCCCAGGGCACATTGCTAAATGTGGGCGATTGCGTAAGACTAAATTGGGAAACAAAATGTTGACTAAATTCGTGCCCCAGACTTAAATTCATTCCTCTAGTACGTCTGGTACTCATAGTAACTACTGTGATTATTTGGCACATTATTATTACGTAACATGTCTTCTACCTGTTTTATTTTGTCTTCGCAATTAGTGTTGAGCTAATATACTATGTCAATTATAACGTTTAGAGCAGATCAGCAGCTCGCCAAGAGGCAGGGTTGTCACCAGCGAGTTCGTGTACAGTATGGGCAAGCCGCCTGGCTTGCTGGACCGCCGTCGGTGCTGGTAGCAACCCTAGATGGATGCATATGAGCTCCTTGATACTTACACCTTGAGTGTCGTTGGGGAATGCCAGTTCTAGTAATTGACTGCAATGAAAATATTCATTCAAGGTCGGAAATCAACATATTGTTCTAATTTTCGTTAATCTTTTAAACAACATACTCTTAGGCGCCGCGCAAATGTGTCTTAGAAGCGAAAGTTCTATTTTCATACAACCCTATATCTTCTTCATTAGTTTTGATTATAGTGACCCCTCCCTACCGACCCTTAGGGTATACGAGAAGAGCACTATACCTGTCCGTGCACAGGAACCTTCTAAATTCAGGTTCTGACCCCAGACCAGACTGTGACAGGGTTGTCACAGACCGTCTATTTTCATACAATTGGTATGAAATCGACACAGTCGCCGGTTTCGGCAGTCGGACACTGTCGCCAGTAGTCGCCACCGCAATTTGTATGAAAATAGAATATTTGTTTCTAGTTACCAGTTGCTTGTATCCAACACAAGACCTTTTCAAAAAGATTTGCGCGGCGCCTTACTGTGTTACTTTAATAGAAGCTTCGGTGGTAGACAACACATATCATGTCACAAACGAGTATTAGTTACATAAGCAAAAACTAATAACATGAAGATTCCGTGTAAAATGTATTACCGTGCACAGGTAGTCGTAAATAGGTTTTGGAAAACCAAAGTTTGCAAATCATCGTTGGCTCTAAAGCCCTGGTCTAGCGATCTTCAGAGTTTCGTTTTCGGTGCTGACTGTTTAATGTGGGTATAACTAAATGTTTGCCTACCGGTAAAACGTGCCAAGTATGTCTCCCGGCGGTGGTAGCGCCCTGACGGCAGCGGGGTGCGGGGGCTTGGCAGGTGCCGCGGGCAGCGAGCGCTTCTCCCACCACAGCACGGCACAGGCGTGCAGTGCGCCGCGTCGCCAAGTCGCTGCGCAGTATCCTTCGCGCACGATCGTGAAACCACGGGACACTACGCTACGGATCTGACATAAAGCTAACATGTATTTTTGAATCATGTCCTGGTCAGGCTATTAATTATAATTTGTTCCCAGTACAGCATATTATGACTCATCGAGTTCTTAGGTTTTCGCGATTGTTACACATAGGAAATGAACTATTTTTCCGGATTTAAATCGCGTATATTTGTTTTTTCAAACAAACCGACGTTTCGGGCCCTTTACAGTTCCCATGGTTACGGTTAACTGAGGTGGTACAGTCTTCAACCAGTTATGTCTAATATTGATGCAAACCACCCTATTTTTTCACTATAGTTACAATAGTTATTAACTAATTACCTTATTTTTAATTTTACAAAGTAAACATTCCAATTTACGCTACATTAAATTTTACAAATTATTTTATTGAATGAATTTTTATTAAGTTCAATTTGTTATAATTATTAATACAAAGATCGAACACTCAGAAAAAATTCCTTCGATCCGGTCGGATTCGAACCGACGTCTTCTTGCATACCGTGCCAGACGCTATACCAACTAAGCCACGGAACGAACCAACGGACCTCACGAATTTTTCTATGTGCTTGCGTCGTGTCTTTGTACTTGGTCTTTCAACGACTTTTTAGTCGTAGCGCCATCTATGAGAAATCTATGACAGATTTATCACCCAGTTAGTACCTTTACAGCTACCAGTCCTGGCGAGAGATGTCGCTATTCACTGTATTAATTAAAAATTTAATTAAGTTCAATTTATTATTAAATAATAATAGAAATTAGAAAAAACTAAAACATATTAATTAGTACTGCAGGTCCTATGTCTGTTTGGGATTTTTCATTAGAGGAAATACTGGATCCCAAACTGGTAGTACGGAGAAAACCATCTTCCCTGTTGAAATTAGGATGTTTTTTCAATGCAATGGCCTCTCGCAGCATCTTGGGTAGATAACGGACTTCTTTTGCAAGGACCTGGGGTTTGGCAAACTTCATTGAATGTATAGGTTTATCCATGACATGCTCGCAGACTTGTTTACGCGACGGTGTTTGACATCAGCTATATGTTCTTTGACGCGAGTACAAATACTCGTACTTCGCTTTGTTTGTCCAATATAAGAGAGACCGCACTCACAGTCAAGCTTGTAAACTCCTGCATCCTGTAAGGGGATGTTACATTTCACGGGTCTCAGGAACTGAGAAATCCTCCTCAGGATGTCATGTGTAAAACTTAATGTAGCGTAAATTGGAATGTTTTCTTTGTAAAATTAAAAAAAAGGTACTTAATTAATAACTATTGTAAATATAGTGAAAAAATAGGGTGATTTGCATCAATCTTAGATATAACTGGTTGAAGACTGTACCACCTCAGTCAACCGTGACCATGGGACCTGTAATGGGCCCGAAACGTCGGTTTGTTAAATCCGGAAAAATAGTTTCATTTCCTAAATTATGACTCACAAAAAATTTCATGTTACTTAAGAATGGTCTACCAACCAAGGTATGAAGTATAATAGGTGAAAAACAATAAAAATAATAATTGTGAGAAGTGCATTAGGCTCGACGCCCACTGACGGGACGGCATGGCAGGGAATGTTTAGAGCGACGAATAGTAGTTCATCTTAAAGTTATGACATAATAGTTCAAATTTCAATTGTAGTGGTTGCTTAAGTATACCGAGCCTTCGGGATTTTTCGGGAGGCTTCCGAAGGTTATTCACCCAAAATCTCCTTGGAATAAGGTTCTTTTCTTTTTCTTCAGCAAGACTACCATGACTTTTAAACTTGCAACGTTACGCCTGATTTGAAGGAGGCTAGGCGCGAGCACGATGTTACGACGGCATACTTCAGCCGTCCGGCAATGGGCGCCGGTCTTTACAATGCGAAAAATATATACCGTGTCAGCAGACAGCATATCAGCACAGTCGGCCATATCGGGTGCGAGGAATCTGCCTGTAGTTCGATCGACGTACACGAAGTGTATGAGGCCAGGAAACTCTTCCACATACTTGTGCAGCGTTAGGGAACCACTGTCCGTCTCGCCCGTGCACTCGCAACACCCACATTAAGCGAAATAATTGCTCCATTGAAATGCCGCGAAACATGAAACTAGTCATGATCTTGGTTTAGTTAATTTTTTAAATACAACAGTTTTTACGTTTGAGATGATCATTGTTGAGCAAGTTGTAGAGATGAAGAGTAAAAGGATATAGATATGAACTCGCTCCTTTTCTACCTTACGAAGATTAAGATCATTAGGCGTGATCCGAGGATGCATTTATATTATAAACAGACGAGTTTTCGTCAAATTTTTAGTATTATCAAAATTAGTTGAATATATTTGATATATGAATATATTTTAAAATGTAAAACCAAGATCGCGAACTATTTTTTTAATGAATAAATCATGCACCAATAACTAATTCGTAAAATAAATGCGTTATACATAATTACTTAATACAAAATGAGATGGAAGAGCAGACGAAAAGCATTTACTTTCGAAATACACGTCGAAGGCACATCAAATAACAATATTATCTAGGTCAGTCATACACCGAACATCACTGAACAGATGCATTAAATTCAATAAAAGGTTGAAAATATGTTTCAAGCAAAAAAAAATGTCGATACATTGTAGAAACCACATATCTGTTTCTATAACTAAGATTAAATATTAAGTAAACACAAGCCACAGGAGCATGTTTTCCTAAAATTTTGGGATACATTTAGTGCTATTTTTGTTGTACATCGTCATATTTACTTAATTCTACACGCTCTTTTCTTAAATAAAATCTAAAAAGGATCGTAATTAAAAATTTCGAGTAAAAATGAGATCAACAGCAGACTGAGTTAGCTTATCTAGCCTTATCTAACCCTTGAAGACACACATGGGAAATTTATTTTCTGTCTCTGGTTGTGGGCATTAAGAAAGATGTTGCGTAGCAGTTGGTCCTGTTTGGGTATGAGTGGTATCCTGCAGAACCTACCTGACGACATTAGCATTATTATTAAAATTTTGCGTTTGTTAATTTTGTCTCCAACATCTGTTAACATTTCCATGAGAAAATACTTAGACCAAACAATATGTATAGAATGCATCTCGAATTTTGCTATTAAGACGTAAATATACCAAGTTTTATTAATTGAAAAGGATATGATCCCATACTGAAATATCGCATTGCCTTGACGCGTAGAAAATCCACATAAGGTGCCAGTATATTTCTCAGTTCGTTCACAGGATGTTCCATTTTCAAGCTCGGTATATCCGGTTTTAAAAGTTCTATGACGGATTCTAGAGCAGTATGCATAGCAGTCGCAGTTGTATCTGGTGTTAATGGAGTAGTTGTAGTGCAAGATTTGCGAAGTTCCAGCATTCGAGTGGTAAGGCGAACGCATAGGTTTGCATTTGCTTTATTTTTCCGAAGAGAATCTGTAGTCTAAAATAATGAATATAATTGAATAACAGATGAAGTGAAATCCTTTTGGAAAAACGCTTGCAGAAGCTTCAAATCCAAGCAGTGGGGCTGCATCGCAATCTTTTAGAATTTGCTTTCAAGAAGGTTCATAAAACTTTTCGAAGTATGAAGTCTCCAATCCACATGCCGCACTATAATCTCCTTAGAAGAGATACCTGAGCAATTGTGGGACTTATATGGGATGATAGAATACACTACACAGCGATGTTTAATTAATAGCGATTAAAGACGTTTGGTATTGTGGATTTTTTACCTTTTTAAGTGCCGTTTCTAAAGAATCAAGTGTGTTAGGTAACATTTCCAAGTTTCTCTGTAGTAACAGTCTTCTTAGATTTGCCAGTATTTGGTTTGACATGTGCACTGCTGTTCCCACTTCTCTATATGAAAGAATAATATATTTATCATATAAAAATCATGGACGATATTATTGATGGCAAATTACATCACATCAAGCTACATATTGATGGATCTTGTCCCGTTGTATAGCTTGATGTGCTGTTGACAGCACCCTGTTAAATTTCCATGCTCTTTTTTAAGGTGTACTCGTAACATCTAATTTGACCCTTAGGTCGCAAATTCGCATTAAGCAGAGCGTCGTTTGAAGCGTACACCCTGCGCCACTTAATATACTGGCTTGTGTAGAGGTGTCTTGTACACTTAATATACTGGCTTGTGTAGAGCGCGTCCCGTTCAGAGGAAGGGCGGGGCATTGTACTAAGCGTGCACGCTGGTGCACTTATCGTATTTAAAACCATTAAGGCGTCTTCCATAAAGCGCTTGAGCATTGGAGCGTTTTCGCATTACGACGAGCATACACAAGTAGTGTTTTATTTAGTATGTCCAGACCCCGTGGCATGGCTACGCATGATAGTCACGACACGCGCGATGAAATTTAAATAAGCGCACGCTATTGGCTGTCTCAATCAGATCTAATTTAGATAGCCAATAGCGCGCGCTTATTTCAATATAATCGCGACAAATGGGGAAAAAAATACCATATGTTACCAGGTGGTGACAAACGGGACAAAAACATCTCAATTGTCACCAGATGGTGACAAATGGAATTTAAAACATCCCAGTAGTTGCCAGTGGTAAAAAAAACCAAATAGAATAAAAAAATCCCAATTAATGTTTGTTTATTGCCGCCATCGACAATTATTCATTTCACTCTGATTGGTCAATACACTAAACGCCACGCTCTAGCGATTTGCGTGCTCGCTGTACATGACAATCAATGCGAATCTTGAACTTTTTAACTGCCTCCGTGGCCGAACGGTTACCATGCTGGTCTGCCACCCCGAGGTCCTGGGTTCGAATCCCGAGCCGGAACAAATATTTGTGTAGCCTACATTTATTTGTTTGGATGTAATTTGTAGTTGTCTATATGTGGTCCATGGCTCTCGCGATACAGGGTTTTCCTAGCGAGTGTTTACGTTATTAAAAAAAAGAACGCTCCGCATGTGCGAATTTGCGGCCTTAGTGCAAAGGTATGGTCATGTCATGTATTATTTATATACTTACTTCAATTATATACAAGAAAAATTAAGATCTAAGATCTGGCAGTATGGCTTAGACGTCTAAGGCACCGCGCAAACGTATCTCGTGCTGGATATAAATCAACCGGCAACTAGAAGTAAATATTCTATTTTCATTGATATGAAATCGACACAGTCGCCGGTTGCCGCAACCGCAATTTATACGAGTATGGAATATTCGCTTCTAGTTACCGGTTGCTTGTATTCAACACAAGGCCCTTTAAATGGAGTTTATCGCACGCTTCGTGGCGAGAAATCACTACTATTGCAAGCAATTATCGCCATAAGATTATTGTATCAAATTTTATGTTACATACAGGCAAGAAGTAAAATCTTTACACGGCAAAATATATAATAAGGGATTCTCTGCTTACGTGTTCTCGACTTGTTTAAACATTTTCAATGTGTGAGTTTATTTTGACCGTTATGACAATGTTACCTGAGTTCCATATCAACTAAAACGACAAAAGTGATGCGAGGGGCAACTTGCGCGACGTGCATAGAGTACGGGGTACACGGGGTGCCCGCTGCGCTTGCGCACAGATTCATGATCGCACTGTTTTCTTCTGATAGCCCTAGAGAAATAATAGAAAATTGAAATATAGAGATAAAATTTATTATTTTTAGGGATCGGTAGAGATGGAATAAGCATAATCTCGTGACTACACACGGTTTAGGTATGTAGGTTTTTTGTGACCATCTCGCCTGTGTAAGTACCATCGGTTTAATATTTCTACCGCAAAGTATTATTACTGTGTTTCGGAGTTTCGAATTGAAAGGTAGGTAGGAGACTTGAACCGATATATTGGGTGACCGAAAACGCATTCGCGACGTTAAGCTTTTCCTAAATTTGAAATGAATGAATGATATACTCTTTATTGCACATAAAATTAGTGACATCATAGAACAGCAACATAAGTCAAAATTTCTATGTAACAATTTTTTCCAGGCAACCTTAAATTAGTTAGCGGCATTAATTCGTTAGCGGTAGTAATCAGTTTCCATTAGCCCGACTGTTTTGGTTGGCATACAATAAGCAAAACAGTCTTAACTCAATGCTGACTATTATAAACAGTCCTTGTAATAATGATCAAATATTCACTTTACAATTATTACAATACAATACAAATTTTATATTTCTAAGGATTATTGTATTTCTAAGTATTTGATATACAAAGAAATAAATGTTCTAGGCTTATGAATTTTCATAGCTACATCCTTTGTTTTGGTATGCCTTAAAAATAATCCAAAAAATACTTACAAGGTAACCTATTAGCTCCGTCCTTATTGTTTTCCATTTTGTCAACGTCTTTCCAATATTCTTGAGCTGCTATGCACTGAATACTTATCAGTATCAAATCTGGGGGCATCAAGTCTTCACTGCCTCGACTGAGAATTTGCAATGAAATTGATCAAATTCATTTTAGGGATGTTTTAGATGTTAAATGTGCAGGCTCTGTGTGTTAAATGTGTCGAATAGACACCGTAAACTTTAACAGTGCTTTAAAGTTTATTTTCAGGAAACTGCTTGTTTGAAACCTTTTCCAAGGTTCACAATATTTTAACCCAATTCATTTACATCACACTAATTAATTCAATTTTAACCTAATTATTTCAGTTCTATAAACTTTCAACGATATGTCAAATATATTATTGCAAGTTACGTTTTGATTTTATATTGCTATTTGATATTATTCAATCAATCTGCTGCCATCTAGCGGCCAATAGCTGAACGACGACGAATTCGAGAGGTTCACTTAGTTCTCCAAAAAAGAAGCGACCATATTGTAGCGGTATAAGGTTTGCTTTCGTTTCTTGTAACAAAAAAATATTACGATAAACAGAAAATTTTAATTTATTAAAATTAAATGAATTAAGACTTGACGATGATATGAAACACCACCATAGATAATATTACAGGTACGACTATCATTTTTGCACTCCTAAGTAGCAAAATAAGGCATTTTTCTACGATTTTCGAGGTTTTGCGCGAGATAATTGACTATATCATTTGTACGACCGATGGCAACGTACAAAACGAAAATGGCGGAGTGGGCTCAAGTATGTTTTAAAAGGATTTAGACGAATAAAGTACTATTGATCTACAATACCACACAGTAGCATTGGCTAGCTAAGTTACATACGTTAAAATGGTAAAACCATCCACTGTACCACTTACCTAGAATACAAAGCCAAAAGCTTATCCCCTACAAAAAGCATGTAATGATAATGTTGGTATGGAGAACACTTGATCTCTTTAGCAGCCGTTTTTAAGGCGCCGAGGGCTGCTGCCGTGGCGCCACTTTCGCCTATAACGCCACTGGCTCCAGGTATGGAATCACCTTTTCCTCGACTTTCTAGGAGAATTGACAACCATTCTTGGTAGACTGGTGAATGTAAACTGTAAAACGAATTTAAAAATCGCATCAATTTTGCTCTGCGATTTATTTGAGGCATACATATTGTAAATGTGCAAAAGCAGTGCCACTATGTATCAAGATTGTTTACATTTATTTATTTATTCATTTATATGTATTCAGGTTACAAACACCCATAAATACATACCTTATATTCTAACATACATAATAATACAATAAAAACACTATCGACTAATTATTATTTACACGTATTGCCTGCGACGTGCGACGCAACGTGGGTGTCCTATAGCCGGCCTCGGAAACGTCGGTACATGACAACCTTCGGCCAAAACTCATCCTTCATGAAAGTCGATAGATGTTGAGTTGGTACTCTCACCACAAATGAATTAAAATTTACATTGTGGCGGGACCTGCTTGTGCTTGACCATCACGGTAGCATTGGCTTTCATCCGTATGTACTCCACAACATCGGCAGACTTTGTGGAGTAATGAAGCCGTGAGACGTATAACAACGTCGTCGGTGTCGCTGGACGTAGTAAATAATTTAGGCCAGTCGGAGTGGTGCCAATAAGGTTATGGCTGGTGCACTTCTTTTTCCTTTCCATCTTTTTGAAACTAAAAATAAAAATATGGTCCACTCTTCTCGGTGGTAATGACCATACAGCTCCGGAGATGAGTATCCGTTTCTTTTTCATTTTCTTCCCCTTTGTTGGTAACCGCCTGGTTTGTGGTTGTGGAGCACTAGATCGGTTAGCAGCGGCAACAGGGGTCGTGGGTGAGGGGTCAACGTGCTTACGCGTGACGCCTCCGCTGGGGCGGCAAAACGCACGTGATGACAGTAGTCGGCGACGTATGGGCCGACTCAAAACTGCCGATAGATGCGTTTTGCGCCCCGCGACTAGTGTCCACATTACAGACCTCGGGTAACCTACTTACCAAAGCCGCACTACTCAGTAACGCAACTTGGGCACGCAACTCACTGATAATATTGTCCGAGGCCTGCAATTTACAGTGAACTCCAGCAAGTCTCGCTTTTAGGGACGTGCATGTTGATTGCATGTCTCGAAATCAGATGGGTTACCAAGCGAGAAGGTGAACCTGATTCCTACTATATCTTTCTAATTTGTGAGTTAAATCAACTGTTGTTCTGATTTGAAATGTTAAAAGTTTACGATCGGCCAGTTGTGAATCGCAATTATGCGCCTCGACTCGGAGGAGACGAGGTTTCCGATCGGAAGAGGCAATCAAAATCAAGCTGGTGATGTCCTTCAGCAGCCTGGTGACGTCGATGTGTTAATGTGTTTAGTTAAGTACCTAAACAAATTAATTAAAAGGATTGATTGGAAAGGATTGAATGAAAATTGGAAAGATTAAAGTAAAATTAAAAGAGTAAGCGAGCTAAATTTTCGGCGCTGGTTGGACGCCACCGCCTCCATGTCTCCCGCGCTTGGCGGTACCAAGCGAGATGACGATGAGCGAGGACGGAGATCCCCGTTCGCATCGCACGCGCCGTGCAAGTAAATTTTTTTGGATAAACAAAATCTGATAAGTAACAATTGTGTAATAATTTCAATATTTAAAATTTAAAGGTGTTTTTAACATTATTGGAGTTTTACAATAGTTTAATTGAAAACAAAGAAAAGTCGCAAGAAAATTGAACTAAATCAATAAACATTCTGTGTATAGTTGTGAGTGTTCATCAGTTTCAAATTGCAACTTACAGGCCAATGTTTTGACCACAGATGTGTTGCACAAACGTCTTGCAGTCCAGCAACTCTCTGTGCCCATCATCAACCTCTTCTTCACTGATGATCATAAATACATGATCTAGCCACTGCAACAGAAAATGAGGACTGCTTGAAAGCTTGTCAGAGTTACTTATCTTTATTTAGGCGCCGTTAGTTTCAAGGGTGCCTAAATAAAGAAAGTAGAGGGACAAACAGGTACTGTTTGTTTTGGTACACAGTACTTTATCATGTAATAAATTGGACCAATAGAATGTGAAATTCAATACATGCACCAAATTCTAAGCGATGGAAGTACTGACATTGGACAAATCTTCAGTTATGTGTGTAATATTTGATGAGTAGTTTTCTGCATTTAATTATATGATCATAGTGTGTGAATATTAGGGCTAAAGTAAAATAACCACTCGAAAATTGTGGCACCTGTATGTATATGAAATCTTATAAATGTAACATTAATAAAAATTAACCAATCAGTCAACAACAGCATCTGTTTAAAAGCTTTTTGTTAAAAAATATTTTAACTAATAATAAATAATATTATAATATGTATTTTGCATGCATCTCAAAAATAGTGGCCCAAAATAGGCCCACACCTAAATGGTTACTATACCGGGTGGAAATTTGTAATGCCATCTGGAGGGAAAGTACTCTAAATACTGGAGATAGAACATTTTACTTAAACGAAACATTCCCTTATTTTTTAAAAGAAATAAAACTGCATTCATAGATTTTCGAAAATTTCTAGCAACACGCGGGAATCGAACCCACTTTAATCTGAAAAAAAATGCACCCTGACTTTTATTGCATCGATCGATAGGGTTAATTATAAGAATAAAATGTCACTCACAAAATTGGTTAATTATATGAAAAAAAAACCACGAAATCTTAACGTATTTTAATGAAACGAAAAAAATGGTAATCTAATTAATTAGTTGCTCGAAATGAGCTCCATTTTCTTGGATACACAAATTTAATCTTTTATCGAATCATTTTGAGTAAATTTTAAATACGCGTTTTGTTATGAATTGTATTACAAACCATATTCTGAACCTCAGCCTTCAACTCGTTAATTAACAAGTAATCCGATGGACCTTTTACACTTTTACTCAAAAAATAAAGGAATGTTTCCTTAAGTAAAAATTTCTACCTCCAGTATTTAACGTACTTTCCTTCTAAGTGGCATTACAAATTTCCACCTTGTGTATTATAGTTTCATTTATTTCAATCAATCAACTGTATTCACAATGAATTTTTGTTACATAAAAACTGTCCATTTGAAATAATTACGTGACAAAACTGGGCTAATAAGATTTGTGGACTTTGAAAGCCAGTTATACTCCAGGTCTATTGAATTTTCCAGATGAATTACAAAATATTGAGATATGTTGCTACTCTATAAAGCCATTCATATGTAAATTGATTTCTATGTATATAATTAAATTTTTATTGAATTGATATTCCATTATTTTTTGTGAAATTACTCCACTAGTTTGTTATAATTATTAATACAAAGATCGAACACTCAGAAAAAATTCCCTCGATCCGGTCGGATTCGAACCGACGACGTCTTCTTGCATACCGTGCCAGACGCTATACCTATGTATCTATGTATATATGTAAATTAGTGCTGGAACAATAATTTGCTCTGTAATTTGCCTGTTGTCACAACATTTAATACACAAATAAATTAAATTTTAAAATCACAGGACATTTCAAGTCACAGAACAAGTATATTTCAAATATTGGGCAGAGAGAAAATAGAGAGTGTAGATTCTGCACAAGGTGGATGAAACTCCTCTGCATCTGAGATGCTGAAGAGTTTCATCCAATGAGGACCCAATGGGCAGCATTGGGTCCTCACCTGATAAGTGTTCGAAGTTCCATACTGGGAAGGCACATGCCTCAACCAGAGGACATAAAAACGGCCTTGGCTGCGAACTGTAATTAGTGGTGATCACAATAGATCAGTTAATGGTTGCAGTGATGAGAGGCCACATAGGCCCCAAATGAAGTCTACCTAATAATAATAATAAGTAAATTATATGAGCTACTGCAAATATACCTCATCAAACACAATAGTAGTATTGTCCTGGCATTGCATAGAAGAGTATGTGTTCCCAAATTGAGCTGCCATAACACGCTGTGATGTAACGGTTGGGGAAAGCAGCTGAGACACACTGTGGCTATCTGAAAGGTTCTCATGTTCCTGGAATAACACAATAATTATGCGAAAATCTTAGTCAATCACATTTTAGTAACATTATTTATTGAGAAAAGCAATCATTATTATAATAATAATTATAATTACTACGATACAAACAATATTATATTTTAAGTTATTATTTGTTATAAATTTTTGTTTGTAAAACAGTAAACCTACATTTCCTAAGTATCTGATAATTAGAATATTTCACATGCCAAACCAAAGAATAAATTGAAGAATTGAGAAAACATGATTTGAATATTAAAAAAAAATACTGAATGAAACCAATATATACATATTATTATATATATCGTTTATAAATGGATAATTAAATATTATGTATAATTAAAAATATCACATCATTTCGAATTGTGTTTTCTCAATTCCACAAAATTTAGTTTCAATACTTATAGCAATACTTTTAACAAGGAAAATGGTGCCAATTATAATAGCCTTTAATTACCATTTATTTTAAAAACACAGCTTACCTGTTCCCCAAAAGGTTTCATTCGTTCTAAGAAAGTACTGTCCCATTTGGAGAACACTAAATCATTTACACTATCAAATATTAACGTAGCCTTCATGTTTAAGCTTAATTGCTACGAGATTATTATTATTATTGTAAAATACAGTTTTTTATTTATGTCATACAAAAATATCAATTATCAAAACTAAAACATAATTTCTATTCAAAACCTTTAACTTTCTCTAATTTGTGATAAAAACTGATTAAAACCAAAGACTCCAATACTATATCTTTCTAATTTGTTACAGTATGCACAAATAACGTCAAGTACAAGACAAGGTACTCTTTTCTAATTTGTGATATCTTTATATTTTGTGTTGTGATCCAAAGAGCACTTTGATTGATCAAAACCTATTTTCCATTATTATTTATTTTTATTTATTAAGGCTTTGGCAAAGCCATCAGCCTAAACACGAAGTTTAATTATGTTTCTGTAAATATGGCAGCCACAAAGAGGATAGGCAATTTGAGGCGGCGTGCTTGGATTGACTCGGGATTCCTTAAAACAGGCCGATACGGGTATTCTAGTCCGAGATTCGTATAATTTCGCGTTTTCATCTTCGATTAAGGCACAATAGCACTATCCTATTCCACTTTAAACTAGATTTCACAAAATAATTGAAAGTCAAAATAAAAACGTCACTTTTCCCTCCAAAAGGTCCAGAGCGAATCTCCCTCCTATTTTCCATCTCTATCAAAACCACAGATTAATAAGATCAAAACAAACGGAAACGACTTTTTATTTTTTTCTACATCATTATGTTTTTTGTTTATTCATTGAGCTTTAAACTTCAAAAAAACGAAACTTTAAACTTTAAAAAAGCTTTAAACTACATAAAACTTAGAGCATGTGCTATATAGGTCACGGAGAAATTTCTATTTTGAAAAAAAAAATTATTTTTCAGAGAAATAAATATTTTTCCAGATATTTTTCCTTTAATTTTTCCGTATATGACGTTGATTCACAATCTTAGAGGATGCAAAAAATAAAGGAATTTACAATGCACAAATTCTGGCAATATATTGCCGCAATTTTTGTAACCTAGAGTTGACCCATCATCAGGAGCAGCGACATTAGCTCATGATTGGTTAACCGAAGGTCATATCGCACAACGCGTTAAATTGCGGCAATGTATTGCCAGAAATTGTCCATTGCGAATCCACACAAAACAAAATGAAGAAAATTTTAACGAAGAATAGGCTAATATTTCATAAAGCCAAACTCATTTAAAACTGCATAAAAAAGAATCTATGACAGACAAAAAAAATGTATTTTTGTATATATGTAGTCTGTGTTTCTTTTGCGGATATTGAGCACAATATTTCTAAATTTCTAAAACTTAATAACATAAATCTGTAACCAGCCCCGAATAGCCTCTGCTCGACCACATTCATTTAATAATTTTCTGCCCTAACAATGTGAGTCGGAGAAAAATTCTCATTTCTGATCAGTCTTAATTTTTAAGAAAAATGAATATTCTTTATTCGTCCCGTATTCTCCCATTTTCTTTCGTATAATTTTATTTCTTTCTCCATCCTCCATGATAATTTTCCACGCTGACACCGGTCAAAAGTTTGTTATTGAACGAAAACGACGCCTAACTTTATTTTACTCATTGACGTCATTACGTCATTGGTTTTACTAAACGATTTTATTTTTTATTTCCCGCTAAATAAAACTTCCTACAACGTTTCTAAAAGAAAGAAAATAACATGAGCTCTCAAATTATATTTTTGTAATGTCATTAAAATATATATATAACCGTCATTGTGAATAAAAACCGCCGAAGTATTTTAATAACCGGCAATCTGTCTCACTACCGCTACACATGTCTCTCAACCCTGACATTGGCAAAATCGTCGCGCAAAACGACGGAGCCATAGACACAAAAGTTGAAGTTGAAGTTGAGCACAATATTGAGGTTTAGTGGTTGCTTGGCCTTGGTTTAAATTCGATTAATCTTGTTTATATGTATACGCATTAAATTCAAATGTTAATTTGACGTGATTACTAAATAAAGTACAAGGAACCAGCTAACATAGATAACTATGAACGTTAATGTAAAGAGACAGGCAATAGTAAGTCAATATTTTTCTGTACGACACTTGAAAGAGCGAATGTGGAGGGAAATGTGGAGAAAAATAACATCGGCGGCATAAAGGTCTCAACTAATCATATTCAGGATGTGCTTAAAAACACTAGGTCAGATATACCAAGAATAAACGGACGTGTTTGATAAGACTTATGAGAGTGGAGGAAGTGGAAGAGGTATGTCAGGAGTGTAGCGAGTGAAGGCCTACTCCAGTGGGAGGTACACGTACAGTAGGTATGCATGTTTTTTTGTATCAACTTCTTCAATTTGTGATTTAATATTTGTTAACAATCATTTTGTTTTGATTGCAGAAAAAAATGAAATCTTTATGCTATGTGACCTTAGGCGGTTCTGTGGTCTACCAACTCATTTACATAAAGAAGGACTTCACTGGGTACTATGATCAAGTGCTTCAACCAATAAGTCAAAAGATCAACCCAGAGTGGGCTCATAAAATTGGTGTTTCTGCTATCAAGTATGGATTTTTCCCACCTCAAACTTACAAAGATCCTGAAGTTTTAGTAAGATATTCTTTCTTTTCACAATAGAACAAAATTAAAAATCTAGATTTTTTAATTATAATTTTTTTACAGAAGACTAAACTTCTTAACTTTGACTTAAGCAATCCGCTAGGTGTAGCTGCAGGTTTTGATAAACATGGTGATGCTGTAATAGGACTCAGGGACCTGGGCTTCTCTATTGTGGAAATTGGTTCTGTGACTCCAGTTCCTCAATCAGGCAACCCAAAACCACGAGTATTTAGATTACCAGAAGACAAAGCAGTCATTAACAGATATGGATTTAACAGTGAAGGCCATGAAGAAGTGTATAAGAAAATACAAAATATTGACAAAGCAGTTTTTGATAAAGGTCTTTTAGGCATTAATTTAGGAAAGAATAAATTATCAGACAATGCTGTTGAAGACTATACTTTAGGAATAAAAAAGTTTTCTGATGTTGCTGATTATTTTGTGGTTAATATTAGCAGGTAATTTTTACTACATTACATATCAAAAATGGGAAATCATTTGTAACATATTGTCGCCTTACATTCTCAAACTCGTGTCTTAAAGCACAAAGTTACTGAAATGGAAAATAATATATTGTATACACAAATTTTGCAAGCTGATTTCACATCACACTTCCTTCATATTCACACACTGGCTTTTACCTATTCTTCAAGTAATGCATCCAAATTAAACCCCTTGATAAGAAATTTAAAGTAAATAGAAAGTTTTGCCAGCTCCTGAATAATCACTGTTTATAAGATACGAGTTTGAGAAAGTAAGGCATCATCATCAGCAGGCGTCATCATATTACAAAATTAATTTAATATTTCAGCCCAAATACTCCAGGTCTCAGATCACTACAGAAAAAAGAAGACTTGCAACAGTTACTGACAGAAATAAATAAAGTTATGGAATCAACAAAAACAGAAAAGAAAATTCCATTGCTCCTAAAACTTTCTCCAGATCTCACTGAAGAAGAAATGAAAGATATTGTATCAGTTATAACAAAAAAACAAAGCAAAGTGGATGGTCTAATAATATCTAATACAACTATAGATAGAACTGGACTTGTAAATCAAGAGTTTTCTGCAGAGAGTGGTGGTCTTAGTGGTAAGCCATTGACAAATAAGTCGACAGAAATGATTAAGAAGATCTACAAAATGACAAAAGGTTTGTTTTTTAGATGTCATTTACTTCTAGTATCAACATGTGAATGCATTGAACATTGTTAGTGCTTATCATATTTAACTGGTCAGGTTCAATTTACATTATCCCGGAATAGAATGAAGCAAATTGAATGAATGAATTTTTATTTAATTTAATTATTTTTTTGTAACTTATGAATTATGTAACATACAAAGTAAATATGATAAGGTAGCTACGGAAATTCCCAAGACTGCTTGAGAATTCCCCAGAAGATGACCTGTTTTTGGTTTGTATGTAGTTTACATTTAGTATTAACGGACTGTGAACTGTATCTTAGACAACTAAAATTATTTGTAAATAATAAATGCTGATTATGAATACTAGATAGTGCTGAATGTAAAAAGTAAACATTTTCAGGAAAAATACCTATCATAGGTGTAGGAGGCATATTTACTGGACAAGATGCATATGAGAAGATTCTAGCTGGTGCCAGTGCAGTGCAAGTATATACTGCCTTTATTTACCATGGTCCCCCAGTGGTAACCAAGATAAAAACAGAATTAGCTGAACTATTGGAAAGCAATGGATATAAAAGTGTCAATGAAGCTGTGGGCAAAGGAGTAAAGTAACTAAGACATTCTGGTTGTTAAAATATTGTTTCTTTTTTATTATTTTTATAATACTGATAGTATAAATATAACAATGGCACAAGTAATTTTAACCATTTAATTAAGTTAAGATTTTAAAACTGTAATACAAGTTTAATACAAGGTTTATAAGTTTTTCACCACAAGTCTTATTTTGCTATTAGGTACACATGCTAATTTAACTATTTTTTAAAGTTTCACATGTTGTTTCTTTGTCTGTTATTGAAAGTTATATTTTGTAAATATAGTTGTATTATTCTATAATGGATTCCATACCTGGAAAAATATATGAACTTTCATTCTCAAGAGATAAAAAATAAATAAATTAATTAACGTTTTATTTCATTATATAGGATTTACTTTAGCACCCAATTATTCTTACACTAAAAGTATATACATAATCAATGAGTTTATATACTAAATTGCTTATTTACCTTGAATATCACAATTAGGTAACTGTGACTTAAGGTATTGTTTACAGGCTTCTAGATTTTCTACATTTATTAAATCATAGAGAATCAATGTCTGAAGTTTTCTTAGAGCTTGGAGTTCTTTAATGCCTGAATCGTGAACATCTACGCATTTAGTCACCTGAACATAGGTCAATGTGTCTTTTCCATAAGACAAACCCTTCAAAGCCCTGTCATCAATGTAGTTACCATTGTGAAGAATTATTTTCTCTAGTTTGGTGCATCCAGCTGCAATATTTTAAAACATTGTAGAATTTGTTAAATACTCAAATACAGTTTGTGAAATAAACTTGTTTTCGTACCAAGGTGAGCGAATCCGTAGTGTGAAATGGAGGAATCGGATCCATCTATTTCTTTTAACTTAGGTACAGGGACGTCTTCGGCCGGTAAGTTGTTGTAATCTTCAAGACGTTTGCCGTCGGTCCACACAACTTTTCCGCCATTCCGTAACACCCACTCTGCACACGCGCGGTCTGGGCCTACCAGCAATATACGTGCAGGGTCCGGCTTATTAAACATCATGTTAACATACTCCCAGAAGGATCGAGTTTGACGAATTTGAGGTGAATAATATTTTCTCGTATATGGTGACACCTGTAACTTGGTAATTTATAGTTATTTATTGTACTCTAAAAGTACAATACATAAACGGGTCAACCAGCTTACTCACTTTACACAATTTAAGCATTTTTTCAATTAAAATTAGTCGTGTAAAAGAAAAGTTAGGTATTATCACAAGTATTATGTCAGTTTGTTATGGTTTGTTAGTATTATAGACATGTGTAACATCGCGTTTACACTATCGTCGATTGTTTCGACGAATGTATCTTCGAAACATTCGTGTTGAGCACAGACTATAGATGCTAACGCATGTGTTGAGTTGTTGAAACGCGTTCACACATTCGTGCGATAGGCGATGCGATGCACGACACGCATGTGTAAACGGTCACTTCGCTATCGCGAAGTTAGGCACGAGTAGCGTCGCGAAGTTAGATACAAGTGGCGACGCGAAGTGTATCGTATCGCCTATCGCACGAATGTGAGAACGCGGCATTATGCCGCGAATGTGAGGATGCAGCATTATGCCGAGTTCTCACATTCGTGCGACAGGCGATGCAAATAGCGATGCGATGCACGATACGCATGTATAAACGATCACGTCGCTACTGGTGTCGGGACCCGCATCGCGCGAAGTTAGGCACGAGTGGGGTCGCGAAGTTAGATACGAGTGGCGACGCGAAGTTACTTTTTTTTCTTATTTCCTGGCACTTTGCCAAACCACAAAATTAAACACTAAGTTCACGATGCGTGATCAATGAGTTGAAAGCGAAGAAGTTAATGGCAAATTTTCGTGCGTATCTTTGTAAGAAATAACAATCCATAATATCGGGTATGGGTGTGGAAGATGTATATGAACCTATATGGTTCGCATATACCGCCATGGATTTCTTGAGATCAGTGTATGGCTGCGAACGCACAATAGACACTGAAGATAATGTAAGTATTTTTATACCATTGTATATACGTAGGTGTCGCGTGCAATGAAATGTAAACGTCTGTTAATTTTCGAATATATGTAATATACCTATGTAATAATATTAGATATATATAACATATATTTTATTAAATATTCCAAAAACAAGTACCTACTTTGTGCTGTGTTCAAAAATATGTAGTAAGTAATCATGTCATGGATTTTTAAAAAAGTATAGGTACTTTTATTTCAGAGAAAAGTTAACAACCAGTGGTAAATAAACACTCGGGTGTTTTATATATTTCATCATATTATTTTTGTAAAAATTATTACACAGCATTAGCTTTTGTTAAAATTAGTTGACGAAAATGCATTGTATAAATATTTACGAGAATGATATGGATGCATACCATGAAATACCAAGAGTTTGTATTTACCATTGATTGTAGAGTGTATACTTTTCTCTCAAAAAAAAGTACACCTTTAAAAAAAAACTCTTGTCTTTTGACTCGTGTTTGAAATACCGCTCACTGAACTGACCGCTTACACATGCGTGTCGTGTATCGCTTCGTTGTTCGCATCGCCACTTGCACGAATGTGAGAACGCATTTCAACCACTCGACACGAATGTTTCGTCGATTGTTTCGACGAAACATTCGTATATAGCCAGCACGATAGTGTAAAAGTCCAAGAATTATCAATTTGGGCACACCAAGCCGAATACTTCATTCACACAGCACAATGCGCAGCGGTTACTCGTTCTCACTCGGTCGGTTCGGTGACCTTTGGAGCACACTCGAGTCGCGAGCAATGGGCGAGTCGAGTTATTTAACTCGAGTTACTCCCACAACGAGTCAACTCGAGCTCTCTACTTTTCGTGAACTCGAAGCTAGCTGGTTCGGTTCCCGCCGAGTCAAAAATAAAAATCAAAATCAAAATAATCTTTATTTCTTAGGTAAGCATTATTACACTTGAAATCGTCACATTGTTAAACTCTACCGCTAATTCGTAAGGCAGATGAAATGAGCAAAAACTCTAGGGGTTGCTCTTTGTAAATAACATTTGTACACATTCAACATTTACAATATATTTTTTGTTTTGCTTTCAAACATCAGAGATCGAGACTACCTCCATGAGCTAAATGGGTTACTGCCACGGATTTTTGTCATCCAAGAACGAAGAAGTTGTATAATAATAACTCGAATAATAAGTCGAATATTTCATTCATACTGCACGTCGGCTATTCGTGCTCACTCGGTCGGTTCCGCGACCTTTGTGCCGCGTTCTCATATTCGTGCGACAGGTAATGCGAATAGCGATGCGATCTTAGAGTATACAATCTAGGATTGTATACTCTAAGGATGCGATGCACGATACGCATGTGTAAAAACGGTCACTTCACTATCGCGAAGTTAGGCACGAGTAGATTCGCGAAGTTAGATACGACAGGCGACGCGAAGTTACTTTTTTTTCTTATTTCCTGGCACTATGGCATCCAGTCTTTGGCCATATGCAATTTCGATTGAGTTGCCAATTTTTGATAATTCTTCCAATACTTTCTTCCTTCTAGAGACTCGGATATCATTGTCGTCGCAGTTGTTGTTGTTGTGGAACTTTGATGTGGGGTTTGGATATCAATAGGAATTTAAAAACGGGGAAAGGAAATCGCGGAATAAAAATAAAAGCAAACGGAATTTTGGTACGGTGATTAACAAGATAGGGTAGGTAGTATATTATAGGTAAATCTAAACAATGAAGGATGGAAATTATGAAATGGAAATGGTTATAGCTGAAAATAATGTTAAGTGGATAAATAATAATCTAAATTTTAATAACATTGTTCCTTATGAACTGAGTCAATGCATTATAAACAGTTTTTTTTTAATTTATTGCTGGCCATGGAAACAAAGCCCTTCAGCCGAAAACATAAACGTTTAATTATATTTCTGTAAATATGGCCACCACAAAGAGGATAGGCAATTTGAGGCGGCGTGCTTGGATTGACTCGGGATTCCTTAGAACGGGCCGATACGGGTATTTTAGTTCGAGATTCGTATAATTTCGCGTTTTAATCTTCGATTAAGACACAATAGCACTATCCTATTCCACTTTAAACTAGATTTCATAAAATAATTGAAAGTCAAAATAAAAACGACACTTTTCCCTCCAAAAGGCCCAGAGCGAATCCATTATAAACAGTTATTCATAGTGTTGCCACTGTAGGCAGTTTTTAGCTATATAGATTTATTCAGATTTACGAAATTATTAGGTACAAAATAAAATATTTGATAGTTAAATATTTTAGCTCTTTTAGTAAGAAAAGTAAAAAATTGGAAAAAAAAAACGAAAATAAAACTTAACATTCAATAGCACAAGATGATAATGATTGATTGATATTGATGATAATTATTTTTTCGATTTACAATTTGTACAATGAAGAAAAATATGTATTTAAAAACGCAATCCCATAATTATATTTTTGTTCAGTCACTTTAGGCAATTTTACCCAGAATTAATTTCTTGGAATGTAGCAACTTTTTTACTTAAAGTTTAACTACTTCTTCCTTGGGCAACGTGGCAACACTACTTATTCAAAAAGTTGACAACCAACGTGAGCTGCTACAATTTCTTGAAAACAAGTCTTTATACACTATGTATACAGATGGTTCAAAGACTGAAGATACTGCAACTTCGGCATTTTATGACCACAGGTTAAATTATTTAAACGCTTCAAGATTAACAACTATTGTAGTATCTTCACAGCGGAGTGTTATGCTATTTTCCAAGCATTACTTTATGTAAATATTCTCCAAGTTGTTAATATAATTATCTTTACTGATTCTCAAAGTGTGTTGGCTGCACTTAATAACAAACAATATAAATATAATTTGTGTTATATAGTATATAATATAAAACAATTGATACATGACATGTATAGTAGTATACACCAGGAAGAGAGTGGGACCCATAATACTTCACTGAGGGACCCCGAAAGTGATAGGTTGCGAATCGCTAGCGTGAGTACCAACTTTAACATTCTGAAATCTCCCCGAGAGATAGATAGCTTTTAAAAATATTAAACTGCAGTCCCCTCAGAACCCAAAGACTGGAGTTTATGTAGAAGTGCGGGTATCGAAACCGTATCAAAGGCCTGAGCTAGATCCAAAAATATGACAAGCACCGATACTGTTTATCCAAGGTGACAACCACGTGATTAACCAAATTATGGACTGCGTCAGAAGTGGATTTACGACTTCGAAACCCGTACTGGTTGTCTGATAAAAGGTGGCCAGTTTCCAGACAATTAATTAACCTGTTGTTAAAAATGCGCTCAAGGATCGCTCCTATGGTACGAGCTCCATAGGGGGGATCCGCCAAGCCCTCTTTCTACCGGTCCCGCATGCGCTGCACCGCGAGGCGACGCTTCCGCTCGACCTCTTGGGGAGCGGGGCGCTCGCCACGGTACCTCATTCCCCGCCGGTAGGCGTGGACCTCTGCCAGGAGCTCGGCTTCAAGGTCCCACGGCGGAGTACCGGCGAGGTATGTCATATGCCTGTCTGTTTTGATCATACGGCGCACAACATTGATGTTTTTGTTGTTCACAACAGTGGACGGGCTACCATCACAAAATTCGTCACTGAGATTCACACGGCCGCGTTTTAATTCTGCATAACAGCTATAAATAGTCGTCTTGCATGGTGCTTCATCGACAAAAGCAGTTTAAAGCCGAGCGAAGCTCCACTGAGCTGTTTAATTACACTTCAAGTCGTATATATCAAATGCATGGTGATTCATGAAATCCAGTTCTGGAAACATATTCGTAAAAAAAATAATTTGCGATTATGAAAATTCGAGTAAATGTTATTTCGGGCAAATGTATTTTCGGATGATAATGTTGATGATGATGACGATGACGATGACGATCATTATTATCATTATCATCATTGTCATCATTGTCATCATTGTCATCATTGTCATCATTGTCATCATTGTCATCATTGTCATCATTGTCATCATTG